ACACTGGCCGGGGAAAGAAAGGTGAGGTCTTTACTGTATCCACCCAGCTGTCTTTCTGGACAACTCCAGTGATCTTCCTACCCCAAATATTCTGGCCTTCTCTGCCCCAGCTCCCAACATTACTCTCAGCCTATCCATAGACAACCTTCCTCTTTCCCTTCCACTCACGCCCTTGAGCGGCTGTGGGGGCAGGCCAGCACCTCGAGGACCCGGACAAAGTTCTCTCCAGCAACACTGACTTCTTGGTGACTCATTCACTTGTGTCCGTAGAGCGGCCTGTGTGGCCGATCTTCCCCGCCACTCTATTTACTCTGTTGTCTGCTAAGCACCTTGAATTTTAAGTCAGTGGACATCTGCCCCATTTCTCTGCTTCCCTTCACATCACAGTTTGTACAACGATCAGCTGGGCAAGCTTCCTGAAAGCCAGAACATTCCCTGTGTTCCTGGCTCCTCACAGGCCTTTGGCCCCTGAACTCCACAAGACCCATAATTAACAAGGTCCCTGAGAACCTCGGGGCTAGCAGTCAAGAAGGCGTTTCTCCACACCGCCTTTGTTGGCTTGGCGCTCTGCAGCCCGCAGCTCCACGGGATGCAGATTAAGGCGACGTCAGTGGGGAGGATGAATCCAAGATGGAGAGGCAAACAGTGGTCTGTTTCTCAGTCTGGCCTTCCAGGACCCCCTCTTAAACTTCACCATAACCTTCATTCTCTTCATCAAGGGGGCCCTCTGATTTTCTTCTCTGTCTTTTATACCTTTTCCTTCATATTAGAGCTTGAACAAAGCCATTCATGACCAGAGATTTACCCACAACCACAGATCACCCACTACATAATGTGCTTTCTACTAGACTTACATGCCTCCCCGCTCTGGCCCTCACTCATGCTCTGGTTGCTAACACACAGCCATCCACGAGCCTGCCCATGCACTGGAAATATCATCTTTCTCTGAAGATGCCCATGGATTCCAAAGGAGCAGCATGAATTAGCTTGCAGGAGGACTGGCTCACGATCGTCTCCAATTCCCAACCACACAGCAATAGAACTGTCTGGCCTTCATAATCACACTTTGCTTTGATGGTGAGTCTTTGACCTGCTGGGATGACTGAAGGGCCCCCAAGTGTGAGAAAGCTGTGATGTGCCTCACAGGGAAAATGCATTGCTAGAGAAGCTTTGTTCAGACATGAGTTCAACACTATGTCAATCAACACTATACATTAAATAAGGTGTCTTTAAACAGCAAACACACACAGAAGAAGGTTATATATTGACCGACTGATGAAAATCGATCAGAGACTCACAGGAAGCGAACCCTGCATTTTCCCCAGGAGCTTCGATTACGGGCTTTGGACCTGCGGGAAGGACTGCAGCCAGCTCCCAGAGCAGTTTAGTTTGACTGTCTTAGAAGTCAATTAAACACAAAATGGCCAAATGGCATTACTGGTCCCCAGGGCTTGGGAAACAGCCGGTGACCCAACATGAAAGTGATACTTTTCCTTGGGTGCTGTCTTGACAGGGTTGAGTGAACTCCTTGAGAGAAAGGACTTGGTTGCACGAATCCTTGTGTCCCAAGGCTGCAGTGCATGACACACAGACGGCACCCACCACCGACACTGGGGCAGGCTTCACAGATGGAGGTGCCAGGGGGCTTCTCGGACGACTGCCTGAACTAGACTAAGGTGAAAGGATACCAAATAGAATCTGAATGAAGCGAAAGAAGAGATGTAGGGGGAGAGGGAAAGAGAAAAAGATAAATTATGTAAAGACAGTCCATTCCCTGTGATGCATGGCAGTCAGATTCTATAACGTCAACTCCAACACTGAGTTAGTGAGTGCTGAACCCTTGCTCCCAGGGGAAACACAGGGTTAGGTTCCCGGGAGCCTCTAATCACAATATTTTTAACAGTCGACCAATATATAACCTTGTTTTGTATGTGTATTTTATTTAAATACACCTTATTTAATACACGTGTGCATATATACATATATATAGTGGATGTGTTGATATTGAACTCATGGTTGAACCACGCTTGTCTTACACATGCATTTTCCCCGTGAAGCACATCACGACTTCCTTGCACTTAGGAATAGCTCTTTACGCCATGCTTGGGGGCTATCTGAAACAATGAAATCACCAGCAAAAAGTACAAAAGTGCAAAAAACTTGTCACTAAGTAGACTGCAAAAAGGACACACTTACAGCACCAGAGCTGAAACGGAAGGCTGGGAATGGCTACATTGGGAGACTCGTTTTCACCACTTTGCGCATGCCCACAAACAACCACAAAATTGCTGCAAGTATCGATTTAGGGATTACAAGTAAATTTTAGCAGGTGGGCAAACTGGCAAATACAGAATTCACAAATAATGAGGATCGACCCTGTGTGTGTGTGGTTATCAGACAAAATTCAAACCGAACCACGACAGAGATGTCGGCCCTTCAGAAAGTGCAGCTGGGCTCAGTCACCAAGGCAGGGACAGCACAGATATAGGCGGACCGAGGACAGAGCAACAAGACAAAAGCATCGCGCTGCCCAGAATGCCAGGACCTGCAGGCGGGGGTTTTGGCCATCAGCCAGCAACAGACTCTAAGGGGTCTCGTAGAAAGGGGCTAAGGGTGGGTTATGGTAGCATAACGTGTCCACGGCGACACAGCCACACTGGCGGTCTATGGTGATATGGCTGTGCCAGGTGTCATCCCTGTCCATTTTGCCATCTCTTGCACTTGGCTCTGGGCATGAAAGAACCTGTCTTCCCTCCACCCAGATGCCTAACACAGCCTCGTCTCGGGGATTCAGAGCCTGCATGTGTGTCTGAGGGCAGCAAGCACAGGCACACAGAGATTCAAGCCACACTAGTGAGAAACTGACCTCCTACTTGTCATAATCCAGCCAGCAACCACCTAAGGGCCCCATCCTCCTGAGCTGAACCCAGCATGGGTGGCCTGGGAAGAGAGGGGATTCAGGGGTGGGCTCCATAGATTAATTGAACAGCCCCAAGAGCTGCTGGAGACCTTTGGGTTGCAGATTGGTGAGAGGCGGCCCGCAGGCCTTCATATTTCCGACTCCCAGCCCAACGTCTGAAACATAGTCACTCACTGAAGTCTGAGGAGGGAAGGTGTGAAATAAAACAAAAAAGGAGGGTGGGTGGCTGGAGAAACTTTTGTTTATTTTATAATAAACAGGGCAGGGTTCTACTAAGAACATCAGTGTTGTCCCCTCACACTCAAAAATAGTGTACTTGCCCTGGCTGGCATGACTCAGTGGACTGAGCACAGGCCTGCAAACCGAAAGGGTGCTCATTCAATTCCCAGTCAGGACACATGCCTGGGTTGTGGGCCAGGTCCCCAGCTGGGGAGGGTGTGAAAGGCAGCCACACGATGTTTCTCTTACACATCAATGTTTCTCTCACCCTTTCTCCCTCCCTTCCCCTCTCTCTAAAAATAAATTAATAAAAATAAAAAATAATATACTTATATTGTATTTTATGCTTTTCAGAGCACTTTTATATACAACCTTGTTAATCCTCAGGTTAACTATATAGTACAGGGACTAGATATTAATGTACCATGTGGCTGGCTGAGGTAACAAACAGAAGTCAAGAGATTTGAGCAAGGACATACAACTGATGAGCGGCATGGCCCCCTGTAGAGCCCACACACTTCTGACCGGTTTCCCGGGAGGAAGCAGGCCCTGATGTGTGCTCCCAGACTCCTCCACTAGCCGTCACAAGCAAGCACCCCATTCCCAGGCCCTCGCAGGAGAGGGTCCACGGGGCACCCGGAACACACAGCCTGGGCTCTGGAAGGCTCACCCTGTAGGAAGTGCAGGCTTCAGGCCAGAACAAGAGGAACAAGAGACGTGGCAACAGACCCGGAGCCAGCGATGCTGCTGGTCTGGTTCCCCGAGCTGGTGAGCAGGCTGCCGGGAAGCCAAGCGGGCAACCCGTGCCAGGCCAAATAGGCAATTAGCACCCACAGAAACCCCGCTGCCCAGCGATTGCTCAAGGTAATGAAACTCCAGGCCTGCTGATTCCCGGGATAGAAGGCAGGTGAGCCCAGGAACCCCTGAGCCAGAGGGGAGCACCGTAGAGGTCCTGAGGCCTCTGACTCACTCTGGCCTCAAAGCGAAGAACACTTCAGTTCAGGGAGCCAGGCCGACCTCCCCGTCCTTGTTCTGGCCTCGGTTTGCTCTTTACGCTTGTGATGGCCACCACCCTTTCCTTCCCTTTGCTTACAGTCAAGGCTGATGTATAGCTCTTTTCCAGGTGCCTTCTTCCTGGTTTCTCTCCCTCCAATACACACCCAACGCTAATTCCTCACGGCTCCCAGTCCCATCCTGTAATTCATCACTTTCCCACCCTCCCTTCCTGGCTTTGAATGGGAACCTCCTTCATTCTGCCTTTCCAGTACTGTCCCCATACTGTTTGCAGTGGCAATGCCGGCCTGACAGAGGAAGAGAAGGGGTTGCTGGTAGAGAAACTGGCGCTGACCAGACAGGATGCCAGCGCACCACTGACACTGCCTGTGCCTTCTGGGTTGGCTTTCCGACCTGGACCAAGCAAGCCAGTGGTAAGGGAGGACAGGGGCATGGACCAAGCATGGAGGTCCGACCAGGGGTGCAGTTGTCCTCCTTCTAAAAAACAGCTTGATTTGGATGGGAGGGCAAATGCTAAGGTAAAGGTCTTGGGCGTCCCCAAGGGTTAAGAAGCTGCCCATGTCACCTGAGGAGGAACGTCACTCTGGAAGAATAGACACGCGGGTTAGTGCAGGGGTTGTGGGTCAAGGTGTAGTGGGAAGGTGGGGACTTACCTAGTGACCTCGAGAAAGCATTGTCTGAGGGGTCAGAGGATGCAGACGTAGTGAGGAGAGGGGTGGAAGAAGCTTCCCCTGAGGGAACTGGCATGCTTCGTGGGCACAGTGAGGAAGGAGACATGGAAAACTCAGGGTGTCCTTTACAGGAAGCTTGCCTCCTCTCCTCCTTCTTGCCCTTGGGGAGGACTCACCTGAAGAAGCCTTTGCAGCCTTCACAGGTCATAGCGTTGAAGTGGAAGCCCGTGGCTCGGTCTCCACACACCCCGCAGATTCGAGGCACATTCCGGTCAAAGTCCCCAGGGTCAGGCAGGGAAGTGCTGGCCGCCATCGCCTCCATCCCTGCAAGAACAGCAGGCAGGCGCCGGAGTCAGGGCCAGGGCCAGCGGGCATCCTTTGCATCCCCTCCCCCATCTCCAGGGAGCTCGGTGAAACTGGGCAGCTCACTGGGGCCCAGGCCCCAGCAGGATTTTTCTGGTGCCCTCATGACATGACTCTCTGTAGCCCCTCTTCCCCTGCTGAGCAGAAGCAGGGCTCCCTCTCCCAGATCTGGAGTGGATCTGCGGGGCACTGGTGACGCTGCTCATGGCGTGGCCTGGACTCAGACTGCCTGGCTTCTAGGGCTGCCTCTGCTGCGTACTAACGGGGCTACTCTGGGCTACTCCTGGCTACTCCGGGCTACTCCGGGTGAAGGGATCAGCCTCTTCATGCCCCACTGTCCTCTTCGGAACAATGGGGTTTTACTTTAAGGGGTGCAGGGAAGGATGAACACATGTGCACCACTGGCATCAGCAGCAGGTCCGAGAGTCTATGCTGCCCTGGGCCCCGCTCCAAGAGAAAAAGGCAGACTACCAAGGGCCCGAGACCTCAGTGCGGAGAGAACCCCTCAGTCCCTCTGTCCTTGAGGGTGAGGGAATGAAGGACTTACATGCCCACATCAGAGCCCTGGCCATTCCTGTGCCAGCTCCTCACAGCCGTCCCACTCAGGACCCACGGGCCCCTGCTGCGCTGTCCCAAGGCAATCAAATCTTCCCCTCTTTTTTTCCCTCCAGAATAAAATTAACACATTCTTTCAAATGTCCTTCTGAGCAGTGTGAGTCATACACAATTAACTGATTTTGTTTTCAGAGATGGCTTTTATAAATAAGCATTATCATCTAGCGATGGATTTCGTACTTGAGGAAAGGGGAAAGAGACAGAGGGAACAGAATGTAATAGCTCTGAGAAATCCTGCTCAGACAGCAGCCGACTTAACACTTCCATTGAGCAAACTGGGCCTTGGCTTCACCTGCTGCCCCTGACCCTGAACGTCGTTGCGCTCGGGGCTGCTTCTGGGGTGCCTTGGGCCTCCCTAAGGAGGCTGCAGACCCTGCCGCCTCCCAGTTTCGTCAGAGTCCCTGCCAGGGTCATTTCAGGTGTAAGTGGCCCCTGGGCCTCCCAAGGGCAGGGTCCCTCGGGCCAGAAGGAAAACAAGAGAGGAGGCCAGTGGTGGCGGGATAAGCTCCCCGCTCCCTCCCGCCCGTGGCACCATGTCCACCCACCCCGGGGGTGGGTGAAAGAGAGAGATGGGGGGGGTCAGGGGTGGGAGGAGCTTGGAGGCTCTGAGCTTCTTTTCCAAGACCAGGCACCTGACCCCCGAGCCAGGGTGTGGCACATGGAAGCCCCTGGGAGCCGTATTTCATTCCGTCCTCACGTCGCCCTTGAGAGAAGGGCCACTAGCACTCTCTTTACGGATGAGGCCCCGAGAAGCCCAAACTCTAGCAACTGTGATTATAAAACGCACAAAACAAATACTTAATTTTAAAAAAATTCCACAAAGAGCTTCAAGCCGCAGGCAGGAAGTAGGACAGATAAGTATATGACACTGCCATTCCCAAAGGGGTAGAGGGGCCCCTGATCACAGACAGACGTCATAGGTCCCTTGACTTTCTCCTTAACTCTTCTTCTCCTGGGAACTTTAATGTAATAACAGTGACACTGTTACCCTTCCCTATCACAGCTAGATTGACACTTGTTAAACTATATTGTTATACATATAAGGGAGAGAGAGAGAGAGACTTTAGAAAAAGCACAATGCAATGATTAACAGAAACCTTTCAGGGGGTGAGATGGGAAAGGGCATGTAGAGGCATTACATAGTAGCCGCATTCTATTTTTTGAGTGGTAGGTATATGGTATCTTATAATTAAAACACTATTTTATGTTTCATATGCCTGTGTGTATATATAAAACACTTCACAAAGTTAAAACCATTAAAAACAACAGACAAAGTGGCTGAGGGTCTACGGCAGCGCCCCTACAACCCGTCCCGAGTCTAGGCTAACTCCCTGGGCTGCCAGAGCGCCGCGCTCATCTGCCCTGTGGGTGGGGATCCCAGAGGCCCCATGGCACTGTGGGGCAATAGGAGAAACTGTCTAGGATGCCTGTGGCTTAACCCCAGGTCAGCTGAGGTGTCGCAACTCCCAGTTAGCGTGACATTGCCACAGAGTCTGCATCATCTGGGAGCCCAAACATCTGTTGGAAAAAGAGAAACCGAATGTGGGGGTAGGGGAACATCAGTCGAACCCATGTAAGAAATGTCAGCATCTCCTGGGCTCCTTAGGGCACAGGAGGGAGAGGTAGTGCCTTGTTGTTAGGGAGGCTCCTGGCTGGGGGTGGGGGCCCAGGCCCTGGGTCAGGCAGGAGAGAGGGCTGGTTCAGGTGGCTAGAGGCTTACTGTGAAGAGGAGCATTTTCAGGTGAGCTCCCCAGCTCTGAGCGCCTCTGACCCCCACTGCCACTCCCGCAGGACTCTGGGTCTCAGCAGCGGGTTATTTCTGATTCTGCTGACGCAGGACCACCCTGCATGTGCAAAGCCCAGGGTGGTGTCCTCTTCCTTCCCCTGCCCACCAGCTTCCCACAGCCCAGCCCTGTTGCTGCAAAATGGAAAACCAGGGAGGTTGTGGCCGATGAGGAAACACCCACCTGAAGGAGCAGGCGTGCAGGTAAGCTGAGCCCAGGGGTGCCCTTCTGTGAGGTCTCGCAGACACTTCCGACCAAAAGGACTCTGAAGGGAAAAAAGGGGAAACATTTTATCTACAGGTGAGCCTAACCTCACAGCCAGTCCTCTAAGGAGCCCAACAGGCTGGTGACAGAGGATCTTTCCAGGGACATTAGTTCCCAGATCAGGGACTGAAACTTGACAGAAGTGACTTATCAAGGGCGGGTGCGGCTGGCAGGGGTGTGGGGGTGTGGACCAGGCAGCAGCCAGGAAAGGCCTTCCTGTGAGGCAGGGAGTAGCAAGGAGCAGCGAGGGCAGTGGCAATAGCCACCCTACCAGAGGCTCTCCCTTCACTGCAAGGGTGTCAGGAGGGAGGAGGGCTTCTTCCTGAGGGGTCACTCTTGCCCCCACAGCCCCCACCCCAGATGTGAGGGGTGCTCGGAGAAGCAGAACCACGGTGGGGCGGGGGGGTGCCGCCCACTGCTGAGGGCAGGAAGGAGACACACACCCCATGCAGGACAAAGAGGAGCCTCGGGGAGCTGGGAACAGTGCGTACTGGGGTTTGGCCCAGGGCCTGGACGGCTTCAAAGACAGGTGTCGGGAACTCCTGTGCATGGAGACCCAGCGTAGGCGGAACAGTGCTGCGAGGGTTAAATACAGCTACGCACTTTCAAACAGGATGTTTTCTGCCACTTTTAGCTCTTCCCCAGACATTCTCAACACCCCCGGCCTCGGTGAGGGCTGAAGGTGACTCTGCTGCCCGGAGTCTGGGTTTGAGTAGCATGATAGGTCACCAAGGTGGAGCTGGCAGAACTTCACCCCCACCCCCCACTTCCACCCGCACCCAGCCCTGCTGATCCACCCGTAGACACACACACACACACACACACACACACACACACGTCCTCCCTTCACTGGTGCCAACAGGAGCTGGCTGGGGAGATAGAGAGATCCGCACGCACTGGACCCTGCAACCTGGCAGACAGAAACCTTTAAATCAAACCCCAGATGGGAAGGTCAGGAGCCCCAGCTTTGGTTTCTCTGCTTTCCGATGGCCCTACTAGCCCCAGTCTAAGACCTGCGCCCAGCTCCAGGGCTGCCAGCCCACTGAGCCCACTTACCACCCTCCTGGGCACTGCCAGCCCCTACGGGACGTCCAAGGAAAATGCCGGTGGATCAAGCTGAGGTAACCTGAGCTGGTCTGGCCTACTCCCAAGGACCTTGGGTGGGAGGAGGCATACCTGCTGCAGACAGGTATGTTGTCACTTACCCCCAAGCGAAGTTCTCCTTTGCACTTTCTACTTCTACTGCCCAAGGCCCCAGCTGACCACACCCTTCTGGATTCTACCCGTTGGCCTGATTAACCTCCCAAACTCCTTGCTGGCTCCCAGAGGCTGAGGTGAGAGCCAAGTGGGAACAGGAAGGACCACTGCATTCCTGTCCTCTGCCTCTAAGATTTTCAGAAGTCAGACATGAGATCCAGGTAGACCACCACCCTTGAGCTTAAAAAATGAAGTCCGTGGGGTCCCTACTGGGTGCCAGCCTGCTACGCTCACACACGTGACCTCACATAAGCCTTCTAATTTCCTGTGAGCTGAGCAGCAGCCCCCTTTCACAGATGGCAACACCAGAGTCCAGGGCACTTTGAGTGACTTGACTTACCGAGGCTTCCATGGCTGGGCAAGTGGTGGTGCCAGGGGCTAAACGAGGACAGGACAGTTGCCGTGCCTAGGTGCGTCCCTCGCCTCCTGCCGACTCCTCCCACCCCAGTGATAACCATCAGACACTACAGCTCTGCGCCCGGCCTCGCTGCGAGTTCTTCACCTACACTCTCACTTAATCCTCGCAATGACCTTGCTGGTGGGCACTGTTATGACCCCTATGTTAGGGGTAGGAAACTAAAGCACAGAGAAGTTAATTGTCTCTGGAGCTCAGATTGGACCCCGGGCAGCCGAGCCCTGAGTCTCTCTGCTCTGCTGCCTTTCCCAATACCTGTCATCTGCCCAACCCTAAGTCCTGGACTCCTTTCACTTCCCCTGAGTCAGGGAGCGATGGAGAGAATAATCCCCAGGCCCCGAGGGAAGAGCATCTTTTCCTCCCAAGGCTCCAGAAACCAGGGCATGGCTGGCCTCAGCCAGGACCCCCATTCTGCCAGCCAACCCCTGTTATCTGGGTAAACACCATTCCGCACACCAGCCTCCCCTCCCCATGCACTACTGTGCACTACTGGATGGTCGTTGTCAGACGATCTTAGTTGTAGCCTACAGCATGGAAAGTGGGGCAAAGACACAGGACACAAAAGAGGACAAGTGGAAAAACACCATTTAATACCAGCCCCCTTCATCACGTCATAACCCTCACCCCCAATTCATGTTCTGAGTACACGGGACAACCCACTGCTTTTGCTGGGGCTGTCCCCAAAGCAGCCTCGTCCTGCCTCTGTTTTAGAAATACCCAAAGCCCCACACAGAGCCACTGAGAAGCAGAGCTCTGCCCTGCAGAAAGCCCCGGGGTTCCATTCCTCCGGGGTCTGCACCCGTCATCAAACCCCTGCCTGAACTTGACCCCAGGCCTGACCTTGCCTTAGCAAGAAATGAAGAGATAACAGGTTTCCTTCCAGTTATACAAGCCAAAACCACTGCCTCTCCTACACGTCTGCCTATCAGCTCACACATCACACACCCCATCTTCCAGCGGTAAATGGGCATCCCCTGCAGAGTCTCACCAGGCAGCCTCGTGGGGCGGCGGCTGCAGGGCGTCCTGGGCAGAGCCCTGGCGAGACAAGGACCCAAGTACGGCCAGGCTCGGTTAACTCCACCACATCCACTGGGCCCGCCTCAGCGTCCTGGGGGTGCTGTCGCTGTGACTCTGGGAGGACAAATGGTAGAGAAGAGCTCTGACTTCTGAGGGCTTTTTCAGCTCTGAAAGTGTGCAACTAACTCCAAGGCCAGAATCCCCATCATGATGGGGCCTTAAGACCATCCAGGAAGTGAGATTCCCTCACCAAGCTTTCTCCCTGACCCCCTTCCTTTAGGAACCAGGTGAGTCCCAACTTACGTGTTAGTGTAAGTGAGGCCCACTCACCCTCAGATGCTAAGGAGCAGAAGGGGCATGAGTGCAGTGGCCCCTACTGAGCCCATGGAGAATAGAAACCCAGGAGAGGGGGCCTTGCACAGTGGGGCTAGGACCGGACTGATCGAAACTGGGCTTCTCAATTGTTGACCTTGACTCAAAGCTCTCCCTCTTTCTAGAAAGAAATGGAAAGCTAAGTGATATCCCAGAAGAAGGGGAGACAATTCTTCTGCTTCCTAAAGTTGATACACACAGAGTCAGCCTCCCGTGCGGCTTTCTGCAGAGCAGACAGGCCCGTGGCACGCCAGCCACAACTGCACGTGTGAGTGCGCACCCTGACCCTGCCGTGTCACCTCCACCAGCCTCTCAGCTCTGCCCGCAGAGGGCCGCACACTGTGTGACCCTCCTTATTTTTTATTTGCCATCTCTTTATGCTAATGTAACTTAGGCACAGCAATATCATAGCCAGCCAGGGTGATGCCCTCTCTTCCTTCTCTACTATCCTTAACATATACCCACGTTCTTTTTCCAGAACAGTCTCAGCAGAAGAAGAAGCTGAAGGGGAATAGACAGAAAATGAGGGCAAGGGGAGAGGAAGTGTTCTGTGTAAACAGAACCTATCCAAACCATTTCTTGCCCCCATTGCTTCCCCATGGACGTATTTTTTTTAAGCGTTATTTATTTTTACAGAGAGGGGAAGCGGGAAGAAAGAGAGAGACAGAAACATCCGTATGTGAGAGAAATGTGGATTGGTTGCATCTTGCGGGCCCCCAGCTGAGACTTGCCCCACAACCCAGGCATGTGCCCTGACTGGGAGTCGAACCTGCAACCTCTCTGTTTGTGGGATGATGCCCAGCCCACTGAGCCTCACCAGTCAGGGCTCCATAAACACATTTTAAGTATGGGCGATAACGATTGAAGATTATTTTCTATAGACTACAATGTCCAAAGTAAAACCAAACAGATACCAGTCACATCAGAACATCTAAAAACTGGAAGGAAACTTAACACTACCCAGTCTAACCATCTCAGATCCCTCCATAATATTCCAGCCAGTTTTCTAGCCTGCGCTCAAACATTTTTCCTGATGGAGAATATCTCCCATGACAATCCGCTCTCTTGAGATGGCTCTATGTTTAGAACAGCTCTCTGCAGCCACCTAAGATGAGCCCGAGACGAGCCTGGTGGGCCAGTCCCACGGCATCTCTGGAGGAGCAGTCTGCAGGGCCACCGCGTGGTGCCATGGTGAAAATTAGAAAAAGGGGCCCATTCCTCATCTGCTGGAAGGCTGTCACAAAAAATAGAAAAATGTAGAATTTTTACGATGTGGGTGAGGTTGCAGGGGAGAAGCAGGGGAAGCTAGCCTGAGCTGCATTTAATTTGATTTTGACCTTGTAAACTGGCCGGGTATGGTCCTGACTCCCACAGGACAGTAAGTAAGGACTGAATGCAGACAGCATCTGCCTCCGTGGCCTTCCACCTGGAGAGAACAGTTTTCGGCCCAAGCAGAGGACCCTGGAGGAGCGGGAGCGGGAGCAGCTGCGGGAGCCCCGCCGAGCCTGCCTGCCTCCTCCCTCTCTGGCTCCCTTGCTCCGGAGGAGGCTGGCGCCAGCACTGCAGCTCTAAGAACATACATGGGGTGTACCGAGCTATTCAACGACTGACTGGCTGATGGGAAAGGAAGTGGATGATGACCCAGAAGTTTCACGAAGGAGTTTAGTCCTGGAGGCGCTTCTTAATTAATTGGCGGGGGAATAGATACCACCTTGGAGAACGTGATAAAGGTCACGACTGACACCCCATACAGTGTCAAGGGTTACAGCTCACTCATAGAAACCAGGCTACAAACTTCCCCTCTAATAGCCATTCACCAGAACTTTTTCTTGGGAGCGGTGGCTGGAGGCAGAAATGCACAAGGCCCTAGACCATGGGGCAGGAGATACATAGCTTAACTTTGATGTATTTCCATTTCTTATCTACAACAGTTATTCCTG